GCAAAGACATGAAATCTGTTTCTGGAAAATCTGCGTATCTTAAGGAATTTAAATCACTGGTATATACTGTAATACCATTATTTTATGTCGCTACGGATCAGTTGCGCAGCCGATTATAAACTGTAGTAATTTGGCAGGCATATATGAGTGCACTGTAGCTAAATCTACTATATATATTGTCATCTATACAATGGAAGTATGTGTTTATATATCTCAAAATACATCATACACAAATATAAAATGAAAGCGTTTTATAATAGAACATATTCATCAAACAAATTCTTGCGTGAACAGAACTATAGTATAGCTAGATTTCTTGTCGCTAACCAAAACAGTCAGACTGAGTCAATATGTTTCTCAGTCGGTATATATTACTTTAAATAGATATATACACTGTATTAGTACTAAGTAGCATCAGATAATTTTCCCCAAATTACCTACACATACTGCTGAAGAAACACGAATTTAGGCGAAAAGAGGAACAGTTTGTACACGGGTTTGCGTTCCGTAATATGAAAGATAAACTATTATACAGGATGCGAATTTGATATATCGTCTAGAGCTATTCGACGGCAGTCCCTAAGTAATAGATCCGATTGTTATTTGACCGCTAAATAAAATTATCACAATAGTTCCTTTTAAATATTGAAGTACATAAACCAGTTAAAATATACCCAAAAAATTGTTCTAACAGTAAGAAATTACAAGCCGGCCAAATACATGACCTTTCCGATCATAAAATAACACGACGCCATTTCGCCTTCACACCAACACCGCTGGAGAAAACGAAGCCCGCGCTTCCGGGAGCAAACCGCATAGCAACCAACCATCGTGGATTTTCTCTTCAAATTTTAGAATTTACTCTTCGAAATATAGAATTTACTACTCAAAACTTAGAATTTACTCTTCAAAATATCGAATTTACCCCTCAAAACTTGGAATTTACTCTTCAAACTTAGAATTTTCTCTTCAAATATTAGAATTTACTCTTCGAAACATAGAATTTACTCCTCAAAACTTAGAATTTACTCTTCAAGATATCGAATTTACTCTTCAAATCTTGGAATTTACTCTTCAAACTTAGAATTTTCTCTTCAAATATTAGAATTTACTCTTCGAAACATAGAATTTACTCTTCAAAACTTAGAATTTACTCTTCAAAATATCAGAATTTTCTCTTCAAAACTTAGAATTTACTCTTCAAAATATCGAATTTACTCTTCAAATCTTGGAATTTACTCTTCAAACTTAGAATTTTCTCTTCAAAACTTAGAATTTACTCTTCAAAATATCGAATTTACTCTTCAAAACTTGGAATTTAATCTTCAAAATATCGAATTTACTCTTCAAATCTTGGAATTTACTCTTCAAACTTAGAATTTTCTCTTCAAATATTAGAATTTACTCTTCGAAACATAGAATTACTCTTCAAAACTTAGAATTTATTCTTCAAAATATCGAATTTACTCTTCAAATCTTGGAATTTACTCTTCAAACTTAGAATTTTCTCTTCAAAACTTAGAATTTACTCTTCAAAATATCGAATTTACTCTTCAAAACTTGGAATTTACTCTTCAAAAATATCGAATTTACTCTTCAAATCTTGGAATTTAGTCTTCAAACTTAGAATTTTCTCTTCAAATATTAGAATTTACTCTTCAAAACATATAATTTACTCTTCAAAACTTAGAATTTACTCTTCAAAATATCGAATTTACTTTTCAAATCTTGGAATTTACTCTTCAAACTTAGAATTTTCTCTTCAAATATTAGAATTTACTCTTCGAAACATAGAATTTACTCTTCAAAGCTTAGAATTTACTCTTCAAAATATCGAATTTACTCTTCAAAACTTGGAATTTACTCTTCAAAATATCGAATGTACTCTTCAAATCTTGGAATTTAGTCTTGAAACTTAGAATTTTCTCTTCAAATATTAGAATTTACTCTTCGAAACATAGAATTTACTCTTCAAAACTTAGAATTTACTCTTCAAAATATCGAATTAATTCTTCAAATCTTGGAATTTACTCCTCAAACTTAGAATTTTCTCTTCAAATATTAGAATTTACTCTTCGAAACATAGAATTTACTCTTCAAAACTTAGAATTTACTCTTCAAAATATCGAATTTACTCTTCAAAACTGGGAATTTACTCTTCAAAATATCGAATTTACTCTTCAAATCTTGGAATTTACTCTTCAAACTTAGAATTTTTCTCTTCAAATCTTAGAATTTACTCTTCGAAACATAGAATTTACTCTTCAAAACTTAGAATTTACTCTTCAAAATATCGAATTTACTCTTCAAATCTTGGAATTTACTCTTCAAACTTAGAATTTTCTCTTCAAAACTTACAATTTACTCTTCAAGATATCGAATTTACTCTTCAAAACTTGGAATTTACTCTTCAAAATATCGAATTTACTCTTCAAATCTTGGAATTTACTCTATAAAAATAGAATTTTCTCTTCAAATATTAGAATTTACTCTTCGAAACATAGAATTTACTCTTTAAAACTTAGAATTTACTCTTCAAAATATCGAAGTTACACTTCAAATCTTGGAATTTACTCTTCAAACTTAGAATTTTCTCTTCAAATATTAGAATTTACTCTTCGAAACATAGAGTTTACTCTTCAAAACTTAGAATTTACTATTCAAAATATCGAATTTACTCTTCAAATCTTGGAATTTACTCTTCAAACTTAGAATTTTCTCTTCAAATATTAGAATTTACTCTTCGAAACACATAATTTACTCTTCAAAAATTAGAATTTACTCTTCAAAATATCGAATTAGCTCTTCAAATCTTGGAATTTACTCTTCAAATTTAGAATTTTCTCTTCAAATATTAGATTTTACTCTTCGAAACATATAATTTACTCTTCAAAACTTAGAATTTACTCTTCAAAATATCGAATTTACTCTTCAAATCTTGGAATTTACTCTTCAAACTTAGAATTTTCTCTTCAAATATTAGAATTTACGCTTCGAAACATAGAATTTACTCTTCAAAACTTAGAATTTACTCTTCAAAACATCGAATTTACTCTTCAAATCTTGGAATTTACTCTTCAAACTTAGAATTTTCTCTTCAAATCTTAGAATTTACTCTTCGAAACATAGAATTTACTCTTCCAAACTTAGAATTTACTCTTCAAAATATCGAATTTACTCTTCAAATCTTGGAATTTACTCTTCAAACTTAGAATTTTCTCTTCAAAACTTAGAATTTACTCTTCAAAATATCCAATTTACTCTTCAAATCTTGGAATTTACTCTTCAAACTTAGAATTTTCTCTTCAAATATTACAATTTACTCTTCGAAACATAGAATTTACTCTTCAAAACTTATAATTTACTGTTCAAAATATCGAATTCACTCTTCAAATCTTGGAATTTACTCTTCAAACTTAGAATTTTCTCTTCAAATATTAGAATTTACTCTTCGAAACATAGAATTTACTCTTCAAAACTTAGAATTTACTCTTCAAAATATCGAATTTACTCTTCAAATCTTGGAATTTACTCTTCAAACTTAGAATTTTCTCTTCAAATATTAGAATTTACTCTTCGAAACATAGAATTTACTCTTCAAAACTTAGAATTTACTCTTCAAAATATCGAATTTACTCTTCAAAACTTGGAATTTACTCTTCAAACTGAGATTTTCTCTTCAAATATTAGAATTTACTCTTCGAAACATAGAATTAACTCTTCAAAACATTGGAATTTACTCTTCAAAATATCGAATTTACTCTTCAAATCTTGGAATTTACTCTTCAAACTTAGAATTTTCTCTTCAAAACTTAGAATTTACTCTTCAAAATATCGAATTTACTCTTCAAATCTTGGAATTTACTCTTCAAACTTAGAATTTTCTCTTCAAATATTAGAATTTACTCTTCGAAACATAGATTTACTCTTCAAAACTTAGAATTTACTCTTCAAAATATCGAATTAACTCTTCAAAACTTGGAATTTACTCTTCAAACTTAGAATTTTCTCTTCAAATATTAGAATTTACTCTTCGAAACATAGAATTTACTCTTCAAAACTTAGAATTTACTCTTCAAAATATCGAATTTACTCTTCAAATCTTGGAATTTACTCTTCAAACGTAGAAATTTCTCTTCAAATATTAGAATTTACTCTTCGAAACATAGAATTTACTCTTCAAAACTTAGAATTTACTCTTCAAAATATCGAATTTACTCTTCAAATCTTGGAATTTACTCTTCAAACTTAGAAATTTCTCTTCAAAATATTAGAATTTACTCTTCGAAACATAGAATTTACTCTTCAAATCTTAGAATTTACTCTTCAAAATATCGAATTTACTCTTCAAATCTTGGAATTTACTCTTCAAACTTAAATTTTCTCTTCAAATATTAGAATTTACTCTTCGAAAAATAGAATTTACTCTTCAAAATTTAGAATTTACTCTTCAAAATATCGAATTTTATCTTCAAATCTTGGAATTTACTCTTCAAACTTAGAATTTTCTCTTCAAATATTAGAATTTACTCTTCGAAACATAGAATTTACTCTTCAAAACTTAGAATTTACTCTTCAAAATATCGAATTTACTCTTCAAATCTTGGAATTTACTCTTCAAACTTAGGATTTTCTCTTTAAATCTTAGAATTTACTGTTCGAAACATAGAATTTACTCTTCAAAACTTAGAATTTACTCTTCAAAATATCGAATTTACTCTTCAAATCTTGGAATTTGCTCTTCAAACTTTGAATTTTCTCTTCAAATATTAGAATTTACTCTTCGAAACATATAATTTACTCTTCAAAACTTAGAAATTTACTCTTCAAAATATCGAATTAACTCTTCAAATCTTGGAATTTACTCGTCAAACTTAGAATTTTCTCTTCAAATATTAGAATTTACTCTTCGAAACATAAAATTTACTCCTCAAAACTTAGAATTTACTCTTCAAAATATCGAATTTACTCTTCAAATCTTTGGAATTTACTCTTCAAACTTAGAATTTTCTCTTCAAATATTAGAATTTACTCTTCGAAACATAGAATTTACTCCTCAAAACTTAGAATTTACTCTTCAAAATATCGAATTTACTCTTCAAATCTTGGAATTTACTCTTCAAACTTAGAATTTTCTCTTCAAATATTAGAATTTACTCTTCGAAACATAGAATTTACTCCTCAAAACTTAGAATTTACTCTTCAAAATATCGAATTTACTCTTCAAATCTTGGAATTTACTCTTCAAACTTAGAATTTT